TTTTTTGGTTGATTAATTAATACGAAAAAAATTTTTAATAATTAACAAATTGCTGGAACGTTTCGGCTTACTTACTCATTATCAGCCATCATACAAATTCACATTACAATTAAAGTTGACATTATCGGCGCAGATGTGTTCTTACGTTTGTCGCAGTTCTATAATCTTGACTATCATAAATCATCATTTAATAATACAATGTCTAATTAATATCATGTGTATGTATCAGTGCGTGTTCCGTCGTTTACCTCATCTTAATTGACGTTTGATATTATAAAATATTATGTCGTAGTATATGCACGTATACAAAAGGAGAAAATTATATTCACTCTGTATTATTGTCATTATTGAACAGTCTCACATATATGATTGTATTCAAACATACCAATATGTACTCATTTGTGCAAAATTATTGCACTCATGAAAAATATAATTTTTTTAATGTTGTGCGTGCGTGTGTGCAAGGACTGAGTTTGCGTGTATGTGGTATGTAAGTGCGTGCGTATAAATAAAAGTGTGAATAAAGACTCTCAAGGAGATGAAAATACGTTAAATCTCAAATGCCTGCCATCGCATCAGCCTGACGAAGGAGATCAATTTTTTATATTTGATCCGTCGTAACTCCAAAAGTATTGATTATTTGGCTTGGTGACATTGAGACTTTTGATCAGTGAGTCAAAATCTACATAACATATATTAAAATTACAACCAATTTGACCGGACTCCATTTTTATAAGAAGTGTGCGGGGTTCTTTAAACAATGACAGCTAAAACCTTTTGAAATGTCTTTTACGATCATGACTTTGATAACATACGTGAAGGTCAGTAAAATGCTCCTCTAAAATGAATAACTACTTTTAATTCTATCATGATATTAGTGGCAGCTATGTCGGCATTTATATACGCAATCGACATTTATTATTTAAAATATAACAAAGAAGGAGCATAAAAGATTTGCAGAATATACTTCCGCAAAAATGTTTACAATCTAATTAAATATAAATACTAATAAACATTATTTCAAATGAACATTTCGACCTATAATCGGATTATCTTCAGCACTATTAAAACAAAGATTCAAATACGAAAAACATCAATATTAAAAAATTACAGAAAATCATAGCAAACTCATAAATTATTAAAAACATACATTCGACGCATATAACAAGAAACCATGTGTTATTCAGTGATGTATGTCAATCCATTGAAATTCTGGGAGGAATCAAAACTTAAAACAATATAGTAAGTAAGTGAGTCATCCGTTTGATTAGTACTAATCACGTCACTGTACCATGCTGCGCTTGCTGTGAGATCGAGAACTGCAGAAAATAATGTCAGAACTAACAATGACATTCCTTCAAAAACTTTCGCACAACAGCCTACTTTTGACTCCTCCCGGAATTTTAATGGATTGACTTACATTGTTAACACAGTTTCCTGATATGCGTCGCGAACATGTACATTTTTAATAATTTTTTACGTTTGCTATGGTTTCTTGTTGAGCGAGGATGGCGCAAGAAACAGCACACTGTCTATTACCAGAGATACCGGATTCGATTCCCGGTAGATCCAATAAATTTTTATATACTCGCGTCTCCGTTCCGGAGGTTTGGCAAATCATCAATCCTTAATTGCCGCGAAGATCGCTTTCAAAAACTTATACTGTTCGGAATCGACTTTAAACTATAGGTCCCACATGCCTGTGTACAATCAGCGTGCGTACCACAGGCATATGAAGAGAGTGATAGGCCCTGACTCGATATGAGCTGTAGCGCCATCGAATAATATTGGTTTCTTATAATTTTTATTTCTGTTAAGATTGACGCTTTTTGTATTTGAATTTTTATTTTAATAGCGCTGAAGATGACCCGATTGTAGGTCGAAACGTTCGCTTGGAATTATGTATATTAATATTTATATTTTATTAGATTGCATTTATGAAACTTTTTTGCGCATATGCATCCTGCAATGTTTTCCTTCCTTCTTTTATATTTATATTATTTTTACCTAATTATATTTATTATATTATACTTAAGTTATATTTATTTATATCTAAGCCGTATTTAGTTATTATTTTATTATTTTAATGTTTGTAATACTTCATACATCTTGTTTATAACATTTACGTTTCAGCTATTCAATGTAGGATGGTGGATGTTTTTACTGAGACTTTTCGATTACGTCGAAACCTGTGTATTTGTATTGAGAAAGAAACAAAACCAAGTCTCTGCTTTGCACATATATCATCATGTATCTATTTTGGTATTAGGGTGGTATTATTTCAAGTTTATTTTGGATGAAAGGATAACATTTGGTTCATTGTTAAATTGTACCGTGCATGTAATCATGTACACTTATTATTTTCTCGCTGCATGGAGTCCGGAACTCCAACAGATGATATCTCCCATTAAATTATATATAACTAAGTTGCAGATGGCAAGTATAAATATATTTTATAATTATTAAATTTTACGCGTGATGTTATTACATTTTTATCTGGGGACGTTGCGATATATGCAATGTACGCTTCAGCGTAAGGCGCAAACTTTTGAGAGGCGCACTTAGCCGACTCGATATGCCCATTTGTAATACTTGTAAAACTCCATTTAGTCTACGTTTGCGAAACATCACCCGAATGTTTCTATCATTTTGTCCTCGTTTAATACTCGGTGAACAATAAGGATAAAATGATATGCGGAAATGTTATTATGTTGCGACATAATTATAATTAGATGCATTAAAATTATGTCGCAACATAATAATAATTCCGAATTTCTATTATGTTTTGACATAATTTTAATTCATGAAATTATTATTATGTCACGACATAATTTTAATTCATTAATAAGAATTGTAATATTTTTTAAGAATTTTACAATAGGTGAAATTTATTTTATGTTATTAAAAATCAAAACGGCTTGCCATAGACGTGCGAGTCACTTCCAATGTAGAAGCGCTTAATGGGGTTGCAACGTCCCCGCTTTTAATATTTATATTCGATATTTTTATTTAAATAATATAATACATTTGTAGTATTTTGTTTATTAATGTTTTCTTTATTTGTGAAATTAGGTACAATTTATTGTGGTGATAATAATTATGCTGCAGATTTTCAATCCTAATTGTCAAGCGCCACCTTTAGTTAAAGGATCAGCAGTTTTTTTTATTGGAAATATACTTATATTTCTGTATTTATTTTATGATTTTTATAAAAAAACCTACACTACGTTACCTAAACAGAAGAATAACTAAGAGAGTATTACAATTTTATATAATTATACATACGCATATTTATATATGTAATTAATATTATATATTAAATATATAATATATATAATAAATAAGTATTAAATTTAAAGTAAATATAATAAATACCAATTCTATTATTTAATATTATTTAATCAGTAGCCACGTTATTTTGTCAAACTATAATAATTAATTGATAAACTCTGTTGCTAGAACTTTATTTGATAAAACAAAATTAATAAATATATAATTATATCAGATATGAAAGGTGTAATATTAAATCTCAAAAATATTATAATATACAAAATGACTGTTATATAATATTAGACCATTAAACAATATATAAATTATTTTATATTTTAACTTTAGATATTATATTGGTATTTAATTTTTTATGTGGATATAAAATAAATATTTTATAATTTAAATAAAATATACAACTGTTTATAAGCTATGAATGTTTCATAAATTTGTTGAGAATTCAATAACTTTTTTTATTTATAAATTAATAAAGATTTAAAATAATAAGAAATTTGAAAGAATTTTTTATAAATTTTATCTACGATTACTAATTAATTAAATTTAACATTTAAATTTGGAAAATATATTTTATATACACAGTGCGGTCCATAAGTACTGATTTTTTTGCAGTCTCCCCATTGACGCCATTTATCGGACGACTGTTGAATTACATAGTGTGAACCTTTTCGAACAGCCATGTTGAGTGGCATAATTTTAATCGCAGTTGTTGAAGAGTGCGGACGTTTGATATAGCTTGGTGTTGTGCGTCACACGCACAGAAAGGATTGGCCAACGCAGCTAAAATATAGCCGTGGCGGCTAATGTGGGTTTTTAAAATATAGGGACAACTAATATTGTTACTGCCAAAGTTAAATTTATTAGTTGTTAAAATTTAAGCGCTACAACAAAAAATATTTGCTAAAAAAATCAAATAATGTTTAGCTAATTCTATTGAGGAATATCCAGCAAAACTTTTAAATTTTTCAGCAAAATCATTCTTTCCTTATGTCACTTTCTTAGCTACTCCTGTTGAAATACTTTTTACTTTTTAAAGATAAATATATTTGTTGCGAGATACAATTTTATTAGCTAAAATAA